ATTCTGTGATTCTATGATTAAGTTTGGACCACTATAATACTGGTTGTTCGTGTACAGTGAGTAGGTACTACGTGGAATTCCAGTACTTGCATGCAGGCCACAGATCTCAATGGTTAGACCTTTTTTTTTCCTTTTTTTTAGCATTCATCTTAATGTAATATTAAATTTAACTCTCCAGAGGTAGCTTAAATTGTGTTTATGCTGTGTTATAAAAGTTCTGTTCATTTGACTAACTCTTACGTGTTCTTATTGACTTATTTGACTTACTCTTACATGTTCTTTTCTCAGCTTATCCCTATTGTTGAAACTAAGAGTGAGAAAAAGAATGCTGTAAATGGGAGCTACATTGCTCAGATAAATCCTGCAGATAAAGGGTGCCTGCTTGAGAAGTACAGCAGTAAATACACTGACTGCGAGTTTGGGCTGTTGGCCAACCTTTATGCCAGTGAGGGCCAACCTGGTAAGGTACGCACTTGGATCAAAGGTGACTTGGCTTGTAGAGCTTTGTGACCGAAGGGAAACTCGTGTTTCGGTGTTCTCACGGAAGGTTTCTGTGATAGTAGTAAAATAGTAATTCCATGGAAGAATATTCAAATGTGAGGAACTGATGCTGGTGAACAAGAGGAAGAATTGGTGGAGACAGGCATCTGAATTTTTGAGGGATAAGTATTAGTTTACTAAAACTTTTACATCATAAATCATCCACCCAAACCCGTTCCAAGCTAGCAGTGATTTAAGTATAAATCAGGTCTAGGCACTTGTCTGGATTTTTTGTAGAAGTGCTTCCCCCAACACAGCTAGCACAAAGCAGTGTTGGCAGAGCCATCAAAAACTACTGAGCAGTCTTTCCTCTTTCCAAGAGTTTCTTTAAAATGGAGTTGAAGCCAGCTGGTGGGTAGAAAAGGGTTGCTTATACCATTTTCTGGTGTGTGAGTAAATGAGTTGCTGCCCAGCAGCCTTCGCAGGCAAAGCCATCCCTGAACAGAAAGTCAGGATGCAAGGGAAAGAAGGATGCAAGGGAAACTCACATTTTCAAAGAGTCATCTTGGGTTATAAGCTTGGAATAATTTCAGAGAAGCTTTCACTAACCTTTGCGGACTGTAGCAGTGGGAGACTCGGTGACAAATTAACCTTATTCTCCAGGTCATTGAAGTGAAAGCCAATGGAAGAACTGGGGAACTCAACTTTGTGTCTTGTCTGAGACAAATTTTAGAGAAACACTATGGAGAAAAGCCAGTTGGGATGGGTGGTACCTTTATCATTCAGAAGGGGAAAGCAAAGATTCACATTATGGTAAGTTGGTCTCAATTCACAGAACTTTCTTCATCCTTCTGAAAACAGAAGTATACATCAGGGTGTAACATCTTAGTGCCTTGACTTTGGTTTGCACTTTTAAATGTATCCATGAACTGCTAGTATAAACAGTGCAATAAAGTAAGGAGCTGACATTATGAAACTGAGGTTACAAAACCAGTGATGCTGTATTACTTGGCCTTAACGCCAATTTCTTTTGAAATCCGTGGGTAGCTAAAGAAATGTAGAACTATTGTAAAATGAATTGAAATTAAATACATGAACTGAGATGACACTTGTAAGAAGCAACAGATTTTTTTCTTTTTTTGAAATAACTGAGCTTCTAAAATATAGCAGGAGGAGGATCTTCAGAGGTTCTCCCACTACCTGTGCGATGAAAGCAGCAATATTCTGGTCACTTCTGTTGCTGGCAGAATCACAGCAGTGGGCACTGGTAAGCTGCTTTTAGGCAAGAAGGGATGTTTTCAACAGAATAGAGGAGAGGGGAATAATGAAAGGAAGTTGCTAGAGAAACTGTGTCTTGATACGAGTGTCTTCCTTTCACTTATAAAGCTTTTACTTTTGTTTTAGCCTCCAGAATTTTCTGCCTGTCCTCTGAACACCGATGAGGATGTGAATAACTGGCTCAAATTCTTTGAAATGAAGGCTCCACTGATTTGCCAGCCAGTAATAGTTTCCAGAGATCCAGTGAGTCTCTTTCTCATTTCTAGTTGTTCTAGACTGAGACTTTTAATGAATTTTGTCTTGAATGTGATTTTCCTTTCAAGAACAGGAGTGCGTATATGTTGTGTTAATCTTTTCCAGAGGTGATGTAATGAAATAGAAGCTTCTCAGTTGTGTCACTGGTTTGAACTGACGCTGAGTCAATCAGTTCCAAAGCCTGTTCATAATGAATTGAACTTGATGGCTTGGTTCCAGTTGCAAGTGTTTGCATCCCAAACCCAACAGCATGGTTTGCATTTGCTGCTGGCCACAGCAGGAGTAATGTCAAGAGCGCAGGAGCTCGTTCAGCCCTATGTTCCTGTAGTTCACTTTCGTAAGAACTGTCTTTGCTGATGCTGTGTCGCAGTGTGTGCAGCACGTGTCTCTTAATTGTTGATGCAAACTAAACGCTGCAAAGCCTCCTGCTAGGTGGTTTTCTAGCATCTTTCACAAGCACTGCATTCAGCAGCAAAAACTTCAGGATAAAAAAGAATCTGGTTTCAAAAGCCATTAAGATGTTTGTCACTAGGAATATTATTTATTTAGAAGTAACCAGGAAACCATAGATGAAAATGACTGTTTTACAAATAGCAGTGCAGTCATAAATAATATAAAACTTATATTCTTCCAGAGTTAAATGAGATCTGCTGTAGTTTTGAGTATGTTCAAGGATATGACTTTATTGTGTCATGGCAGCCTTTGGCCTAAGGCTGAATGGTGAGTGTCTTCCCAGAATCAGCTGATGAGTACTTGGAAAACAGCCATCAACCACTGCTCCATTCACAACCAGTGCCATTGGGGTAGTGGGTGCAGCTGGGTTACTCCTGTCTGTGTCCACTGCAAGCTTGACAGCATTCAGCCGAGCCTACGGTTGTGGGAATGTTTGAGTGTCACTACAGAGACGGCAGTAGGAGATGGCGTTTAAACGCTGTAGCGTTTCTCATCAGTATCCTTTTGCAGCCTAGAAAACCAATTGCATCCTGGGCTGCATAAAAAGTGTGGTGAGCAGGTCAAGGGAGGTGATTGTCCCCCTTGGGAGACTCCACCTAGAGAGCTGCATCCAGCTCTGAGGCCCCAAGAAAGTCACGGACTGTTAGAGTGGGTCCAGAGGAGGCCACGAAGATGCTCAGAGGGCTGGAGCAGCTCTGCTATGGGGACAGGCTGAGAGAGTTGGGCTTGTTCAGCCTGGAGAAGAGAAGGCTCTGGGGAGACCTTGGTGTGGCCTTTCAATATATAAAGGGGGCTGCTAAGAAAGATGGTGGAGATACTTCTTACCAGGGCCTGTGGGAGTCACAGGACATGGTTTTAAACTGAAAGAGGGTGGATTTAGATTGGACATTTTTGACTATGAGGGTGGTGAGGCATTGGAACAGGTTGCCCAGAGAAGTTGTGGATGCCCCATCCCTGGAGGCCAGGCTGGATGAGGCTTTGAGCAAACTGGTTCAGTGGAAGGTGTCCCTGCCTGTGGCAGGGGGGGGGGGCTTTGGTGGGGTTTTAACCCCACCTAGAGTGCTGTGTCCAGCTGTGGAGCCCCCGACATCAGAAGGGTATAGACTGGTTGGAGCAAGGTGGGTCCAGGCCACGAAGATGCTCAGAGGGCTGGAGCAGCTCTGCTATGGGGACAGGCTGAGAGAGTTGGGCTTGTTCAGCCTGGAGAAGAGAAGGCTCTGGGGAGACCTTGGTGTGGCCTTTCAATATATAAAGGGGGCTGCTAAGAAAGATGGTGGAGATACTTCTTACCAGGGCCTGTGGGAGTCACAGGACATGGTTTTAAACTGAAAGAGGGTGGATTTAGATTGGACATTTTTGACTATGAGGGTGGTGAGGCACTGGAACAGGTTGCCCAGAGAAGCTGT